TGGAGAGATGACTCAGTGGTTAAGACCACTGGTTGTTCTCACAGAGGACCTGCATTTGGTTCCCAGCACATGGCAGCTAACAACATTCTCTGATTCCAGTTCCAGGGGATCTGACACCCTCTTCTGGCCTCTGCGGGCATTGCACGTTCAATGGTTCATGGTGCACTTACATACATGCAGGCAACACACACATACACAAAATAAAGCTAGCTCGGGCTATGATTCAGTTGGCTCCTGTGGTCTGCAGGGGTAACCTCACTTAAATGGAGCCTGTAGATCTTCAACTGGTAGATTTGATTTGGTCCCAAGAGGCTGGTTGGATCTAGGCTGGTAGGACAGTAGGAAAAGAACAGGTAGAGAGAGAGAGAGAGAGAGAGAGAGAGAGAGAAAGGGAGTCCAGCAGGTCAGCCCAGCCATGTTTCCTGCAGGACTTGTCAGAGCCTTTGCTCCACAATATGCTACAGGATCTTGTGGATAGGTGGAGAGGGGAGGGTGTCACACTGGGCCTCACTGCACAGTGTCCATGGGATTTCCCTTTCTCCTCCAGTCTCCATGGCTATGGTCAGCACATGACTCACTCAGGCATCCCCAGGGCCCCAGGCAGGAGAAGAAGTACAGGCTGTGACTTCCCATTGTAAGGGCCATCCACTAATTAATTAGATCCAGTGCAGAATGCTGGCCACTGTGGGTACATTAATAGGTCTGAAGGGGCTTCAGGGATATACCCTCCCACCCACCCCTCCTGGCCTCCAGGAGATGGGAGATGCTGTCCCAAGCTTTGGCTGCTTCCAACAACCAAATTTTACATTTCATTATAAATGGCTTTACCGGGCTTGCTGGTAACTTTACATTTTCATCCACTTTATTATTAATGGTTTTCTTGAACTGTAGCAGCCCAGCGTCGTTCACAATGCGTTATAAATATTTGATCCTGCATCTAGAGTTGGCCATTTATCATTTATAACGGGTTACAAAAACATTATAAAACATTTACCGCACATTTATAGATCATTCTCGGCTACCACACGATGTGCTATAAATACATTATTAATCCTCTTCTCGCCATTGACAGGAACCCCTTGTAATGGGCCCCGCCCTCCACACTTACAGCAAACAGGACTTGACGCTCGGGGCAGTAGGATCCAATGGATGGAGGAGGCAGCCTGGGCAGATGGCTGTGTCTCTCCTGTCAAATCACAGCCCTCTCTGTTCAGAGTGCCAGACTCTGGTGTGGAGTGCACTGTGCATGTCACACTGGTCCCCGAGGCCTCCCTGTGGCTCAGGCATATGGAGAAGAAGGTTTGAGGTCATGGTGGTGGTAGGCAATCTACACAAGAGCCTAACCAGGAAAGGAGAGCAGATAGGAATCCTGGCCAATGACTGCCAAGTTTGCCCACCCTTCCTGGTCACCCCTCAGTCCCTCAGAATGCATACAGCATACACTGCACACCCCCAAGGTCTCTACAGGAACTAGGCTGAGCAACCACCAGGGATGAAGAGACCTGGGACCCAGCAGAGACCCCAGAATCTCTGCCCCCAGGACCTGTGGCCCCAGCAGGAGCTTAGAGCTCAGAGCAACACAAAGACCCTCTGAGTGTTTAGTGGGGTCCTGGGTGCTGCACAGCTCCTACCATAAGCCAGCCCCACTCCCTGGGTGGCCATGACTTTGGATGGGTGAGGCCACACCTTGTTGAGTGACAGCTGGCTATCTCAAAGGAGGAGCTGTTGGCTCCTCACTGACCTTTCTCCTCTCTGGGCCCTGGATCTCCCTACCAGGAGCTACAGGGAGCAGACCACTCTCTGGACCATGACCAACACACCCAAGGAGCCAGTGAGACCCTTGAGTCTGCAAGTCAGTGAGCTGAAAACTCCTATTCATGCTGCAAGACCCCTTCTATATTACCTTTGCTTTTGAGTGGCTAGGCGTCTGGACCTGTGAGCCCTGGTGGGCCCAGAACCAAGATGGTCCTTTTGGGCTGACACCGTGAGGGGAGAGGGGAGAAAACTGGGGTCTCTAGGTCAGCCTGTCTGTCCTCCTGAGCTTCTAACAGGTCCCAGGAAAGAAGGGGCCTCAGTACCAAGGGGCCTCTAACCTCACCCTCACTTGTAGACACCTGGAATGACCCCACCTAGTTTAGCCAGACTAATTGGGCCAGAATTCCCACCTGCCCTCTGGAAGGAAAAGGAAGGGGTGTGAGTCCTCAGAACTTGCCAGGCCTCAGGCACCACCCCCCTCCTGTGACCCTGGGCCATTATGGGCCTCCTTATTCCGCAAGGCAAATCAGAAGGGTGGGCCTCCTGGGGCTCCTGGGGTGAGCATGGGGTGACACCGATGAGAGCAGGCCTCCATCCTCCCTATGTGAACATCACATCAGGGCTGTCCACAGCCAGGGCTGAAAATGGAGCCCAGAGACTTGTTTGGAAGGTAGAGGGAGAGCAGGTGCGTTTGTCGCCATGGCAATGCCACACATAAACACCCACACCCACACCCACACACACACACACACAGAATCTAAGCACCAGCCAGCAGCCACAGGGAAGGAGCAAGCTTGGGATAGCCCCCTCTGATCCCTAAGAATGAAGGGGGCCTTGGGGATATAGAACCCTGGGCACTGACCCCCCCCAACTCTCCATCCTAGAACAGAGGGCCACCTTGTGTCCCATCAAGTGCCCATGCAGGTCTTTGTCTAATTAGGTCACAGCTCCCACCATGCTGCCAGATCAACCCATGCCACCTTCCCACCCAGTGTAGAGCAATGTGACAATACAGGACCCAAGGCAGGGGCGGCACCTGAGTGTAGGGTGTGGACACCTTCCTGGGGGAAGTTTGGGTTCTGGAGGCGACACAGCTGAGTGTACAACCAGAGATGGTTGGAGCCTGGAGAGTCTTCGAGGGACAGGCTCTTCTGGTACTTGCTGGGCCTTCTGGGAGCCTCTCCTGGTCTGTGGGGCAAAGGCCCCGGGTTCAAGCTGGAGTGTGGGGTTGGCTGCAGGCTCCATGTGGATGTCAGACCAATCCTTCTGTCCTGAGACTAAGCAAACCCAGAGACACTCGGGGCCACTCATTTGGCCTTTGTGTACAACGCACACCTCGCATGCTCACCCAAGACTAGGAGGTATCTACACCCCTGCCCTGCCTCAGAACCCCTTCCCTCTGCACAGGCCACCAGGCTAGGGGTCTGCTGCTTTAGGCCGTTTCCCCACATCAAAGCCAGCCCTGCTCTCACCGCCGCCCCCCAAACGTGTCTTCCTATGCATGACACATGGAAGCAGTTGAGGACAGGCGCCCAGTTATGTTCACTGTAGCAAACGATATTTCCAAGATCTACTTGTGGCCAGTGGAGCCTACATGGGCCCTGGATGCCCACAGGCCCTGGGTTTTCCTTTCTTGCCCCACCCCCACCTCAGCTGCACGAAGAATATGCCATGTGTGCCAAGAGCCCAAGGCAAGATCCCAGACTCAGAACCTATCGTCCAGCCTCAGGTGTTGGTCGGATGTTGGTGGCCCGTGTGGGACATCCTCAGATTCCTGTGTTTGCCCTCAGGGTCACGTTGCCACACTACTCTGCACACCTGGTGTGTAGGGTAAGATGTAGTCACTGCTATGACTCCAATACAATCCTGCCCATCATTTTCCCAAGCTTTGGGGCTGGAAAGTGTCCTTTACCAATTAGGCAGCTCAGGTGGAGCAGAAGTGGCCACACTTGTGGACGTGCAAGGGCAGTGACCCAAGCCCAGCAAAGGGTGCTGTGTGCTGATTTCTGGATGCCAGACTCAGTCCCTCCTTGGTACAGTGGCCTCTATGCTAGGCAGTATGGGATGCCCTTCCCTTCCCTATCTTGTGCTGAGGTGGAGTTGGCCCTCCACCAAGGAGCCATACCAGCTCTAGGGGTCCTCCGTGAGACTCCACAGAACAGAGCCCAGGGCTGTGAAGAAAGGCCTGGAGATTCTCAAGAGAAAGCCTGTGAGGACCACAGGGTTGGATAGGGCCCTGAGCAGGAGCCAGGCATCAGGGACATGGGGGAGCGTGCCCAGACAGAGGCCCAGCTACATGGGAGGGGCATCCCTGCCACCTCACCTCTGGACAGAAACCAGCTCCTGCACAGGCCCTGCTGCCCTGCATGCTGCGTGTGAAGGCCTGGGGGGCTCTGGACACCTGGCTCCAGCCTGTCCTAGGTGGTGGAGACAAACCCAGAACTGTCCATCAGAGCCCTGGTCATCAGACCCACATTGCCTTGGGAGATTCAAGGATGGATGGCAGGTGCAACAGCAGCTGGCACAGGCACTTGAGAAGGTATCGGCTGGTAGACCGGGCTTGGTGGCCAATACAGGATGGGGCTGTAGGTCTGAGCCTGCTGGGCCCAGGTCATCTCCAGAGGCAATGGCCTCTGAGGAATGTGGGGCTGCAGGAAGGCCTGGGCTGGTTTTCTAGGCCACAGTGCCCCCTGGTGCCCATAGATGGAACAGCCAGATACCAGGGCAGAGCCTGTTGGGCAGTGCTGGGGAGATGGCCTACTCATGTAGGAAGGGCCCCTGGCCACTGTGAGAGAGGTTCTGATCTTAAACCTCAAGGGCAGGAAACTGTCTTGGAGAAATGGCCACTACGAATCAGTGCTGTCCTACACCAGCCACAACTTTCCTGAGTACCTTGCACACTGAGCTCCCCAAGCTTACTGCTGGCCCCTGGTGGGTAGGAACTGGTGGCTCACTACTGTGGCCACCCAGCAGGGCCCGCCTAGAACACAGGTTATGAGAGCTGTTCCTGCCTGCACCACAGGGCTCTACTGTCCATTTGGGGTGAGACCACTCCATCTGGCTGATCAAGGGGCAGAGGATTGAGGGCCAGGCAGCCAGTGTGGGCAGCCTGTGGTGCTATCCACTTGGGAGGCTTCAGGCTGTACCTTCCAGGCCTCTGCTCAACCGCTTGAGGTCTCAATGGGGAAACACCAAGCACAGGGCCCCAGGCCCCAGTGGCCACAGATGACACAGGACACCAGACAGCACATGGGAACTGTTTCATTTGAAATGGACCTTGCCATGCCATGCCATGCCAGCACATCAGCCTCTCCTCCCATCCCTTGTGCTCTGTTGTGACCCAGAGGTGGGGAGGTTAGGGGAGGGCCACCAGTGCCAACTGCTGGGCAGGAGTGTTGTTCTCTGCTCGTCAGTCTGCCAGAACTCAGGGGTGAGGCCACCATGAAGCAGCTTGCTGGGACAACATTTCACATCACAGCCTCCATGTGCAGGATCTTCAGGGCCTCGGAGATCTGGGCACTGGTATCTATCTGGCCATACATGCCCACCAGGAAGGCCCGGTGCAGCAGCACAGCAGCATGCTCTGCAGGAGAGGTGTGGTCAGGCAGCACCAGGCCAGCAGGCCCTCCCAGGGCAGCAGGTGGTACTGAGTGGGCAATGTACCTTGGCACAGCAGGGTGTACTCTGGCAGATTCCGGAGGGCAGTCTGTACCACCTCGAAGTCCCGGCTGCCCAGACAGTACATGAAAGTGGGCAGGAAGTCAGCGGCGATGCTGCAAGATATGTGCTAGAGTGAGTACTGCCTTGTGCTCAAGAAGCCCAGGAGCCCAGGCCAGGCCCCAGCAGGCTGAACTCGCTGACCTCCCAACTTGGCTGCCAGGGATTCAGGGCCAGCTTCCCTCACCTGGGGTTGTTCTGGATGGAGCGCAGCGCCAGGCTGAAGGCTAGGGTACGGCATGACTCCTCTGCTGAGCTCATCAGTCGCTGCAGGTTTGTCTGTTCAGAAAGGAGGGCGGCAGCCACCAGGTGACTACAGAGGCTCAGCCTTGGGGGCAGGGGGCAGGCATCAGGCCAGTTCCCAAGGTCCCCGCCTCAGGTGCCTCCAGGTCAGAGGGCTGGCCTGCCTGGGCTGTTCCACTACGAGTTGGTGGGGTAGTGCCCAGCCTGAGAGTCACGGTCCCTGACCCCTGCCAGGCCTCCTGCTCCACTACAAGTCCACAGGGCACTGACCAACCTGAGGGCAAATCCTCTGACCCCTGCCAGGTCCCTCTAGCCCTACTCACTGAAAAGAAGCCCAGAACCTCGGGTCTCCGCCGTGACATCTCATCTATGTCGCTCAGAGTCTCCAGCACATCTGAGGGGCAGAAGGCCGGGCTGGGGAGGTTGGAAGGGCCTTGCAGGACCTCCTCCTCACCCCAAGTAAGCCAGAGGAAGAAGGGACATGCCCCAGGAACCCTAGTCCCTCCTAAGGCTCCCCAAGGTACACCAGGAACTGTGTGCCGCACTCAGTGTCACCCTATCCCAACGCCTAACAGGGCTTTTGGCGACACATTGGTCTCAGGTGAGGACCTAATGGTTTACCATGTGGCCTTTAAGCTTGGAGTAGCCCCCTTCCACCTCACCCCTGGTTCTCCTCCGAAGACACTGACTATTCTACCAGCCACCCTGTTGGGTCTTCCTTAAGCACCCTGGCAGTTTTGGGGCTCCACTCTGCTATCTGAGCCAACAGCCCAATGCACTTGGGGTACTGTGGGAACAGCTGGCTTACTCACCTTCAACAGCCTGGCCCCGAGACAGCCTCTTCATGTGTGGGGCCACATCAGCCACCGTCAGTGGGGTAGACAGGGAGACACTGACCAGGGGCAGGGAGCCAGCTGAGCGCTCATCTGTGAGTAAGTCAGGGTCAGCGGACAGATGAGCACTGTGGGCCCAGCCAGACCCACAGTCCCCATGGAAATGCTATGCCTGCTTAAAGGCACTCTGATCACTGCTCAGGACAGTACCAGTACCTGGTACATGGCAGGCACGCAGGATGGCATACTGAGCTGTCCTGAGAGACCTGGCATATGGTTTCTTCATACTGCCCAGAAACAGCCCAGCAGGAGAGTATATACCCCTCCTCTGCCCTCAAGGTGCCCCTTTACTATGGAAGGCTGGTGTCTATAAAGAGTGTGTTCTATGGAGCCCCTTCCCCATGCTTACAGATAGCCCAAGGTCACACCCAGCCTGTCCAAACCCAGGCAGAAGACCTCAGCCAACAAGTCAACCACCCCGCCTCCAGCCATCCTTGAAACAGACTCCCTACCCACCTGCCAGTGACCATGCCAGGAAAGGACAGGGCCACCATCAGGCAAGCAAGGAGATGAAGCCCCAAGGACCAGCCTGCCCAGTGAGCTCAAGTGACATCTGAGACAGTGCAGTGGGATCCAACATCCACAGGGCACCTCTGCTTGGTCAGCCTGGCCATGGCACCAGTTCACGACACACATGAGACAAGTGAGGATCCAGGACTCCCAACAGCCCCAGACACATACAACAGGCAGCCAGCACCTCTCCACAGTGCACAGTCCAGCTGTCCCCTCACCCTCGCCTTCCTCGTCCAGGCCTTGGTCAGTTCTTCCGTCCCTGCTGGGCAGGCTGAGCCCCGCCAACAGAGACTTCAGCATCATCAGGTCGCTGTTGTCGAAGGATAGGTCGCTGTGAAGAGAGCATGGGTTCACCTTAGGAAGGGTGGGCAGGGAAGAGTAGCAGGCATGGGGAAGCCGCAGGACTGGGAAGAGGGGCAGAGAAGAGGGCCTAGGGTGAGGAGTAGTGGAGGAGGGATAGGTGAGGAACAACCGGGGGCCGGTGGGGGGCAAGCACCCCAGACAGATCCTCTTGGCTGCCCCTCCTGGCTGCAGCAGGCAGCCCTACACTGATGCACTGCCAGTCTGGACACTCACTGCAGGGGCTCTGCGTGCTTCTGCAGGAAGGCCACGGCTGCTGGTGCGCTGCAGGCCACATACTTATGGATAAACTGCACAAATTTGCTGATGAAGGGGGCCAGATGGCGGGAAGACTTCCGGTAGTTCTGCAGGGAGACAGAACTGCTCAGGGTCCTGGCAACCTTTACACGAGGTAGATTCCTCAGGCTTTCATGGCCCCCTGTGACCCCTGACTGATCACATGTGGTGACTATGGGGCACAAAGCCAGGCTAACTGGGCCTGGTTTTCTTTTTTGAAATGGTCAGAGAGTCCAAACTGGTCCATATAGAGCCTCACTATATAGCCAATGCTGGTCTAGAACTTGCAATCTTCCTGCCTCAGCCTCCCAAGTGCTGTGATTACAAGCGTGTGCGACAGCTGGCTGACTTGACTTTTGTCCCTGTAATCTCAGCACAGACACACAGAGACCTAAGTGGGCATATGATAAACAACACTATCACAGGCTCATAACAGCATAACGATACCCAAAGGGGCCGGCACCAAGAGCCTAGAATGTGGGGTTCCCCAGGCAAGATGTTGGGGGCCTTTCAGATGGAGCTGATCCCCATACAGTGGAGGCAGTGGCCTGGCTTTGGCCCTGTATTAAGGGCTGGGCTCTCCTGTGGGAGCAAGGCAAGGGACTACCAGCCTGGTCAGGAAGGATCACACCTGGCTGGTAGGCCAAGGGAACAGAAGGGGGTCAAGCCAAGCTGACAGGGAGCAGAGGAGGATGTTGGGGCTGAAGGTGGGGAGAGCCTGCCCAGCACCCACCAGGAGCAGGCGGATAAAGGAGAGCAGGCAGTCCCACAGCGCCCCCTGGTGCTCGCTCTGGAAGACGCGAGGCTGCAGCAGCTCCAGAATGCCCAGCACGTGTAGGAAGAAGGCCAGGTGGTTCTGCTGCCTGAACTCCTGGAAGTTCAGATGCGTGCGTCCGTGCAGGAGGGCCGCAATCATGGGCAGATGCCTGGGGCAAACAGAGGATGCCTGTGGTCACACTTTCCCACCAGACACCCACCACCCACCCACAGCTATGACACATACCGCAACAGCAGGATGGGGTGGGCCACAGCCAGCTTCCGACACGCCATGTTGGCATCAGTCACTCGGCTCTCGGAGGACCGGGAGTCGCTGGTGTCCGCCAGCAGCGTGATGAAGCGATGGATGAGCCCATCCAACTGCGGGGTGGGGATGCATATGAACACAGGTCCACACACCCATCTGAGCCCTTCTGCCCCACTCAGAGCCCTGGACATCGAGCAGCAACAGAAGGAAGAGGGACAATCCATGCACTCAGTGGAACGACCTATAGTACATGCCATAGGCAGGAGCTCATGTGGCCCCCACAAGGTCTGGTAGAGCTGGCCAGGATGGGCGGGAGAGAGGGAAGAGGGCTCAGGGATATTCGGGGGGAGGTGGGGGAGGGGACACTCCCTTCCCAATTGCAGTCACATCCTCACGTTGCTCATGTGTCACACAACACGTGTGCAAACTCATGTCCATCCATCACATAAGCAAAGGTGGTAGGGTAGCAGAAAGCACCTCTCTGTACCCTAGGGGGTCCTCAAGAGTATTTCACAGCAAGACCCCAGGGTCCTGGGAGGTGTGCTCCAGATAGCTGTCTTCTCCCAAGAACCCCTCGAGCTACACGGATGTACCACACACAGCACACAGGGTCCACCATGCACAGGCCCCATGGCATGCAGGGTCCCCACTGAACACAGCACGCCTCACCTTGCAGATGCTGCTGCTGGTGGCACCTTCACTGTGCAGCAGGACCTCAGGCACCGGCACCCGCAGCTCCGGCCGCTGCAAGTAAAGTTGAAGCAGCAGGTCTCGGCATCGTTGGCCCAGCACACTGGAAGAGTAGAAGGCCCAGGTCACCGGGGTGGATGTGGCCAGGGAAGGGGCGCAAGCTGATGGAGCCATTCCGAAGTGAGGGCAGATTCATCCACCACAAGGGCTCAGGCCCAGGCACCTGTCCCCCCACTGCTGGATGCAGTCAGTCAGGTACTCCGTCACTTTTCCAATGCTCTCATCGTTGCCATGGCAGCAGCTGAGCAGCAGGGGCAGCCGGGCCTGGATGAGGGTGCATGCTGCGCTGTTCCCGTCCTGGCTCCTGGTCTCTGCCTCGGACAGAATTAGCTCCACCAGGCTGAGAAGCTCTGGGCCCTGGACATGGAGCACCAGCTCCTCCCGCCGTTTCTGCAATCAGTTACTGCCCATCAGCCCCATGATGCACAGTCACTACCCACAGGGCCAGGCCACCCTTCTGAGACTTGCCTGTGGGGTGCGCTGGTCCCGGCCCTGCCAGATCCGGGGCACATGGATGCAGGCCCAGAGGAAGTCTAGGGAAGCGGAAGGGTCGAGCCTGGGAAGGAAGAGGCAGGTCTCTGAGCATAGAGTACCAGAACCAGGATGAGCTTCCTGGGAAGAGGCCTCTGTGGAAGGCCACTACTGTCCTTCTGAGGGGTCCTTGGTCAGACATGATGCTCAGATGACAGAGTCTTTTGATCCACATCCTACTGGGTCCCGTATCTGTGAGCTAGGTGTCTGACAGACCCCCACAGAGGGAACTGGAGCACCAGCCCTGCCTACACTATGGGCTAGTCACAGACAAAGGACCATGAGGCAGGATGCTGGCTTCTCACACTCCCTCAGTCTGGATGCCATGGCATGGACATAAACCAGACTCTGCACAGGCAGAGAACTGTCAAGAAGAACGAAGGGGCTGGACTGGCCATACCCTGGTAAGCCAGTGAGACACGCTGACCCTGCAGGAAGGGCATGCAGGTGTCCTGGGGCACCAAACACACCAGTTGCCTAAGAAGGTGCAGCCCTGAAGTAAAGTACAGGGATCCCCACAGAAGTCATGGGGTTAAGATCAGAGGGATGGAACCCACTGTTGTGGCTGCCTTAGAACACAGACCATGGCCCCAGTGCAAGACACACTCCACGGCTCACAGGCAGCTGCACACAAGCCAAGGGGTTGCTGGGGTTGGGGTGGGCCTCACCTCTGCTCTCGGCTCTTGCCCAGTAGGACCCGGATACAGCGGTGCAGTGTGGACCAGCTAGCCTGGTGCGTGAGGAGGGCCAGGAGGTAAGGACGGAAGGACAGCACCTGGGCACCTGAGTGACCTTTGCCCTGGAGAAGAAGAGGCCAGAATGGTCTCAACTAGGCCTGGGAACCAGCAGGTCTGATGGATCAAGTTAGCTGACCATGTTCTGGCTGGGGGTGGGTATCACTCAGGAAGCAGCAGCACAAGACCTGGGACCTAGATACCTGCTCTAGACCTTCACTGTCCCCTCATTTCCCCATGCAGGGCAGCGACCTGGGTTCTATCCATTCTCCCTGGAGGGCCCATCTTCCCCTGGGCTTAAATGACAACAGTGGGCGCTCCCCCCTTCCCTTCCTCTGACAGACCTGGTTCCTTAGACCACAGGATCTGGTGGGACTGTCCTACTCCCACCTCAGGCCCAGTCCCAGCAGTCCCAGATGTGGCTGCTATGGTTGGCCCAAGTGGACACACAAGGCGAGCCAGGCCTGGCTAAGCCCACCATTTCATTCTTCTCGGGGCTAAAAGACATGGAGCCCGGAGTGGCAGCACTGCTGGAGGGCCCACAGGCATGTCCCTGTCACCTTTCGTCGTGAGAAGAGCAGCTTCCGCTGCAGGTCAGGGCAGCTGCTGACCACCTCGGGATCCAGTGTCTCCAACCAATCCACAAGCAGCCCTGATGTGGGTCCCATATGTGTGGCCTCCGTGCTGTGGAAGAGAAGGGTCAGAGCAGGGCTCAGCCTGCAGGGCTGCCCTCCCTCCTGCTGGCCGCATTCCCACTCACCTGGCACCCTCCTTGTCCTGCTTGCCGGGACCTGGGGCCTCCTCCTCCTGCAGCAGCAAGGAGCTCACCACCACAATGGGCCCAGAGGCTGAGCTCAGGGAGGTGGCATCCACAGTGGCTGAGAAGAGTGCCGTCAGCAGCTCTTCCAGGTGTGGGGAACGCACCTCGATGAGCCCCCGGAGGACTGCGGGGACAGGAGATAGGTTGAGGGGAGTTGGACAAGACACGTCAATGACTGGGCTCCCCAGGGCAGGAACACCTGACCTCAAGAGGTCCTGCATGGGCACTGGGGACAGGGGACAGTGCTGGGCTGGGCAGTACCTTTGCTTATGAGCTCAGGCTCCACAGTGCACTTCTCCCCAGACCTCAAGGTGGCGATGACGGCCCGCACGGTGGAGCTGACCACTTCCAGGTCATGGCTGAAGTTCAGGGCCTCGGCCAGGTGCAGAAGCCCACTGCGCACTGCCGGCAGGGGAGAATCACCGACATGGCTCTGGTTTGCCCACACATTCACAGCCTGCACCTCTGCTTACAACAATTGTTCTTCAAGGGGCCCCACACAATGCTCCCCATGGCTTGGGCCCACCACACGGACACCAACCAGTCCCCTCCCACCTGTCACCCAGTGCATTAGCTCACCATCGCTGATCCTGCGTCTTGCCGAGTACCGGGTGGCAAACAGCTTGAGTTGGGCCTGCAGGGGCCCGTCCTCCACAGCAGGGCTATCCAGCCACTGCAAGATCTGCATGAGTACTTTGAGGAACAGTGAGGAAAGGCTGGTGTCCTGGGGCACAGCACGCTGTGGGGACAGCCAATCACACGTGGACACGCTAGCACAGGACTGTGACAGCCTTGCCTAGGAAGCGGTCTGCAGCCCAGAATCCAAAGCCCAGGGCTGGAACCAAGGCCTGACATCTTCCCCCTTATGGACTCAAAACAGTCTGGCCTCTCACGTGCCAGGATGACCATAAAGGGGCTTTATAGCCCCCAGTTGGAGAGGTGCCTGCTGCTGGCAACTTATTTCACATGGTCCCAGGGAAAGAAGGAAACACATACACATACACATACACACACACACACACACACACACACACACACACAAAATGAGTGTACAGACTGGACAGACGCAGCAAGATCATGAAGGGGACAGGGATGGGAGGGAACTCACTCTCTCTTGTTCACCATCCTCTGTCTCATAGTCCCAGGGAGAGAAAGAAACACACACACATACACACACACACACACACACACACACACACACACACACACACAAAATGAGTGTACAGACTGGACAGACGCAGCAAGATCATGAAGGGGACAGGGATGGGAGGGAACTCACTCTCTCTTGTTCACCATCCTCTGCCATGGGGCAGCTGGCTTTCTGCACATAAGACCTGGGACTCCAGGCCCACTGACAGTAGCCTCATGGTAGCTTTGGAAGATGACCACAGCCTTCTGTGCCAGGCAGAGTCCACAAGTCCTGGACCACCAGTGCCACCCACTGCCCTTCCCTCCCCCAAGCTCCTTGGGTGCCAGGGTACCTGGTACTGGTACAGTTGACGCATCAAGGGGCAGGACAGGAAATGGCTGTGGTGCATAGCCAGAGCTAGGGTGCCACCATGTGGGGAGTTCAGCAGGGTGGCCATGGCCTGCAGGAGGCGCACTGTGATGCCCGGCACCTCAGGGTTCCCCTGGAGGACACAGGCCAGCTCCTGACCCAGGGCTTGTTGCAGTGCCAGGGCAAGGGGGCGTGGGCTGGAGTTCTGCCACCGTGGTTCGGGGCTCAATGGGAAGATCTGGAACGGCATAGAGAGTGTCAGGAGAATTGCAGGGGCCCTTGTGGCTCCCATGGTGAGGCTGAGCCCCTTATCAGGTTTGATTTTGGCTCAACTGCATGGAGTAGGGGCCCTGGGTTCTGTGCTACAGAGTGGTAAGGGACTCTAAAACCCATGGAGCTGCCCCGGAGGACAGAAGTGCCCAGAGACCGCAAGCCTTGCATGGGACCCAGCACTGGCAGATCTCGGAATGTGGGTGTGAGCACAAGAGAAGTGTGTACCGCTAGCTGGAACAATGCCACACAAAGGAGAGAGGGCACAACACAGGGTGCTGCTGTAGGGTCCTCACACTGAGGCCTGGTACCTGCAGGAAGATGCCAGCCAAGTCATCCTCTGGGCTGAGCACTGGGACCTGTGTCCCAGCCCGAGCTCTACCCTGGCCCGGTGGGGGTTCAGGGCTACTTTTTGGCTTGGGAGCTTCTGTGCTGTCTGTAGAAAAACAGAAGTGTGTGGCCTCAGAACTCCTGAGCAGCTCCAGTCCTGTCCTGTGGGATACTGTGACCACCAGCTCCTGCCCGGTCCTGTGGGATACTGTGACCACCAGCTCCCGCCCGGTCCTGTGGGGTACTGTGACCACCAGCTCCCACCCAGTCCTGTGGGGTACTGTGCCCAGAAAGCAGCTGGGTCTTGGACCCAAAGGAAGTGCAGATGAGAAAGAAGAGCCTCACTGGCTGGAGGCTGGGAGCAGCACAACTTGGACTGTGATGTATGTGGGGAGGGCCATACCTCGCCGGGGTGGCAGCGAGGCCGTGAGTAGCGAGTGGAAGGTCTGTCCTCCGGAAGCTCCTCTCTCATGCTGTACCTCAACCAGGTGGGCCATGTAATCTGCAAAGCAGCAGACATTGGGCATCTGCAGAGCTAGCCAGCCTTGCCACAGAGTACAGGGCTGGGGCCTCTCATACCATGCCAGCAAGCTACTTTAAGATTGTAGAAGCCAAGCTACAGGAACCCTAGCAGGGGGCCCAGGGCTACCACCAGCCTCAAAACCAGTTGTGATGGGGGCCCAGGGCAATACAGCCTCAGGGCTCAGGGCTCCAGCACTCACAAGAGTGCTGTGCATGCCCAACTGACCCGTTAGCTACTAGCCTGGCTCCACAGGGCCTGGTGGGCATGGGGTGCTGCCAGGCTCGTGGCCCCCTTACTCTTGTCCATGATGTTCTGCTCCAGCGTCTGAGGGTCCTGGGCCACCGCCTGGTCCAGGTACTGCAGCAGCTTGCTCATGCTGGACACAGGGATGCCAAAAGACTGCACAAAGAGCAGCAGCTGCTGGGGCTCCAGGTCCTGCAAAGCTGTGGGCGAGACATGCTCAGCCCCTGCTGGGCCACCCCACACCCACCCAAAACCCCACCACACCTGCCCAGCAAAGGTGGCCCTCAGATACAGAAGCACAGGACCTGGTACCACCACCCCCCAGTCACATGGAGGTTGATGTGATGTCATCAACTGCTCCCACAGCTGACAGGAGTCCAAACTCCTTAGCATGTCCCTTACCAGGCTTCCCAAGCTCACCCTGTCTTTCATCATCAAAGTCCCTTTCCCTGCCAGGGAGCCAGGCTGAGGACCCAAACTGAGCGCATGTTGTCTGGCCCCTGCTGGGCCCCTCCTGCGCTTGGTGCACCTTCCTTGTGGCCCACATATCCTCCAGGGCCCAAGTCAGAAGCCCCACACCTTCCCTGTGCCTGCCAAGGCCCAGACTATTATCTTCATTTCATATAATTTCATTTCTTTCCCAGGCCTCATCTCTGAGCCCTGAGGCACAGCTGGAGATGGCTCAGTGGCTCAGGCTCCTATAGTAGGTATGAGGCTGGGCCACCACCAAAACCTAAGTCCAGCCTGCCCGTACCAGCATCCACCAGTCGAGGGACCTCGGAGCGGATCATCCGCAGCTTCAGCCAGTCTGGCAGTAGCAGCGCCTCCTCAGAGGTGTCCACCAGGAAGGCCGTGGGCAGCGGCTTCTTCTCTGGAAACCAGATATCCAGTAGCTCGTGGAACTCACTGTCACCAGCTTCAGGGAAGACACAGAGGGGCAGCTGTGTCATCTGAGGAGCCATGACCACAGGAAGGACCACAAGTCGAGGCTGGGGGCCCACAGAACACCCAGGGCAGTGATCCCTTCACTGGGGAAATAGACTCTGAGGCACTGAGAAGGTTCAAACACAGGTGATGACTGAGGTCTCACCTCAGGTCACCCTGCTGTTGCACGACAGCCAGTAGCACGCTGGGTTTGGGGGAACAAACATGCCCCATTGCCCAAGGTCATCCACATGTGGGGACTTGTGTGATCACCAGAGCCTCAGCACAGGTGCCTGGCCCTGAAGCTTCCTTGACCTCTGGCTCCACAGAGCCAACCGGCTAAGATGGCGTGAGGCCAGTGTTTCCCACTGCCATTCCCTAGGACATGGTGGACACACACTGGGATGAACTCTTCTACCTTACTGTAGCAGCAGAGCCCACCCAAACACCTCAGTTCCCAGCCAGGGCATCCAGTGTTCTCTCCTCTCACATAGATGCAACTGGGTAGCTAGTGGAGGAAGCTGCTACAGTGACCAGGACAAGGGGAAAGGTTGCTGGCCAGAAGGGTCTCAGCAGCTTGGGGTCATCAGGCTCTGGAATAGCCAGAGTCCTCAGGCCAACCCACAGGCCCATGGGGAGGATGCAGGCTCAGCTATCAGGATAGAAAACTGCCTGTTGTGGTGGTGTGTGGCTTGGGACTGGAACTCAGACAACTAGGCCCTCACTCTCAATGAGGTCCTACACATCCAGAACCTCAGTGTGGGCACAAAATACTTAATAGAACAAGCAAGCAGGAACATTCTCCCTGCACTCAGCAGAGGCTGGGGTGTGATGGAGAAGGGTTCACACAGAGCTCTTCCCAGACTTAACTCCTGGGTGTGAGCAAAACAAGAAAAGTCCAGGACAGATTGCTCACCCCGGGGAGGGCCCAGTGTCAGCAGGATGACCATGGCATGGACCACAAGGATGTGCATGGTGGCTGTCTCCCCACTGGTCCAGCGCAGGAACACCTGGTCCTGAGACTCAGACTGAAAGAACACAGGACAGGCACCAGCTGGCTTAGAGGGTGGGGCTGACTATGGTTCTGACAGTGTACTCCTCACCCTGCTACAGAGCCCCTCATCTGGCCATAGATCTCCTCAGTCCCCTTCAGAACTCCCCTCACCCCTTATCCAGCTGTGAAGCCCCTGTCCCACTGGCCAGGCTACCCTTGGCCCTCACCCAGCTGTAGACTTCCTCTCCCTCTTTGCTCTTGCGCATGCGCCGCACGTAGTGGGAGAAGACAGACAGCAGGGCGCTGAGCACAGCATCGGAGGCTGTGCTGCAGGAAGCCTTGGAGAAGAGGTGCGCCATGATGGTAGAGCGCTCTACAACCAGTCGGGCCACATCCTGGGCAGGGGGACAAGGGCCATCAGAGAGTCCAGGGACTTTGGATGAGTGACCCGCCTGCCTGTGCACCAATCCAACCACCAGTCACCATGTTGGTGACGCTGAGCCAATTATCCCTGCCATAATCCTCTCACCAGGGCCAGGTCGCTGTGTGGACCCTGCTCCTCCACTGGTGTGTGCTGGGACAGGTAGATGAGGTAAGCGCTGATGGTCTGGGGGTCAGTCTCCATGTGGATGGCCTGAGGAGGCAGGTGGCTGGACATCTGAGATGGATCTTGGGACAGTGTACAACCTCCCTGCCCTCCCAGGCTGGCCTCGCCCACTCCGCACCTGCTGCAGCGCCAGGGCCGTGGTGGTCCTCACACTGTCGAACAGGGGCAGCTTGGGCAGGTCCCGCAGCAACCACTGGTAGCCCTGCAGCGCGTCTGCCTCCCCCGTGTCCTCCTCCATGGGGGGCTCCTTCTCCTCCTTGTCACGCAGGCCACCTTCCGACAAGACCAGTGACAAGCCCTGCAGGCACATACGTACACAGGGCTCAGCCCACCTGCCCTAGCACATGGTGAATACTTCTTACTCCCAGGAGCACACAGGTCCCTCAAACCCCACACAGAGAACGCAGCAGTTCCCAGGACAGGAAGTCATCTGGTCCTATAAACAAAAGGAAAAAAGCGGTACAAGCCGAGTGCGGCAAATGTCATCTTTTGTTTTTTGAGAAAGGGTCTTACTCCATAGCCCAGGCTTGTCTCAAACTCATCACATAGCCCGGGCTGGCCTGGAATCTGCGGTCTTCCTGCCTTGAACTCCTGGGTGCTAGAATTACTGGAATTACCCATCACACCCAGCTCAAAATACTTGTTCAAAGCTTTTTTGGGGGCGGTCCTAGAGATGTAAAGGAGAGCCTGAGTCCTGGTGCCCTGCTCAATACCTTTCCAGATACAGCAAAATGTAGTTTGTGGTGGAGCCCCTGCCTAGAATCCCCCATCGAGGGGCTGGGGTGTGGCTCAGTGGTAGAGCACCTGCCTAGAATCCCCCAGTGAGGGGTTGGGGGTGTCGCTTAATGGTGGAGTGCTTACCTATCATGTGTGAGACTCGGTTAATCCCTAGGACCACACCACACACACTCACACACTCCCTGTGCGCGCATGCGCACACACACACACACACAGTCACCTGGCCTGGCCATACTCACCTTCATGGCCAGCACCCGGGAGGCCACCTGTGAGGAGCCCAGGCGCCGCAGGAAGTAGTCAAGCACCTCACACGTGGTCTGCTCATCAGCCTTTGGGCCCAGCAGCAAGTCCTGCAGGCGGCCCAGTAGTTGCCGCTGTTTCTGCTGCCTCTGTAGGAGAGGGACTCTCAGGGAACCTGGGCACTGTCAGGGTGGACCTGGCAGGGTGAGCAGGTAGACACCAATACCTGCCGCTTCTTGGCCTTCTGCTCCCGGCTCTCCCCTTCATCGTCCTCCTCCCCCGAGGCGGTGGCATCAGCAGCGTCATGCAGCAGGAACTCACACAGGCACTGCACTGGCAGCACATCCAGAGAACCCTCGCTGGACTGCACCAGGTCGGCCAGCCAGGGCATGGACTGTGAAGAGGCCTGCGTGGGTGACAGGGAGACCAAACTTAGTATAGGAGGCCTAGCCCTATGCTCTGTTCCCTTTTGCATGCAGGTGCTCAAGTGTACCCTATGCAGGGCTAAGTGACCTAAGCAGTCAGCATGCACTGCTGAACTACCCAATGTGGTGGCATCATCAGCCTGGATGGGCATGACAGTTACCACGCATCTCTGGATGGCTCTGGAATCTTCTGGACCCACCCTGCTCTCCACCCCTCCCACGGCGGGGTTCACCTGGCGCTGGATGATGTGCAGGAGGAAGTCGGGGTTGCGGCTGCGGCACAGCAAGTGCCCAAGGCGCAGTGACTGGTTGAGGGCTTTCACCTGGTCCAGGATGTGAGGAGGTGGCCTCCGTGGGGGCCCTCTGTGGGTCATGGGGGCACAAGCATCAGAAGGCCACATGCACAGCACCAAGTAGCAAGTGGCGGAACGCACCCGCCCTGTCCAGCCACACTGCAGTTCACACTAAAGCTGGGCCCAGCACCTGAGGCCTAACTGCAGAGACCTACACCACGCTGGGACATCGTGGACAGCTCAAGGTCAATTCAGCCTAACTCCCCACCACCGTGCACTCACACTTAAGGCTGGGGCAGGGTGGGAGGCATACTAGGTTAAGTTAGAGTCAGGGTTAGTGTACTGGGGGGTCCAGCAGGTCAGCCGCGACAGGAGGGTGAGTGTTAGGGTTTTCGTACTGGGGTTCCAGGCTGGTCAGCTGTGACAAGAGAAGGCTGCTGCTCTCAGTGATGGTCTGCTTGGTTGAAGCAGCGGCCAAGTGGCCTTCAAAGGCCAGGATCTCCTGCTTTTCCCGCTGGGAGACCTGCAGCTCTCGGTTGATCATCTCTGTCCGAGTTTCCTCATCAGTCAGTGTGCATGGTGGGTACGAGTAGTTACTGGGGACCAAACACATGGGTCTGGTACCTGCCCCTGCACAGTGGCACCCAGTACTTGATGCTGAGGATCAGGCACATGAAGCTGTAGCCATCAGGAGCACCACTGAGCATGGGGCCAGTGATAAGGCCATCCAGCTGAGCCCCAGCAGCCACAGGCTCCAGGACATGGCCACTCCACATCTGTGACAGCCACCTTCCACCTGGAGCCTAGCCAGCATTGGACTCAGGGTCCTACAGGACACCCACTCTATCACGCCACGGGACACATATCAAGCCACATGGGACCTCTGTCCATAATGATGGCGACAAACAGAGGCACATACAGGCAGAGACCCTGACATCTGCCCTCCTTCACATGCTCCACAGCTGTCTCCTTGAGGAGCCCCTTTCACAGTGCTGTCCCCAACATTCTGTGTGAAGCCTAGTCCTCAGTCACCTGGAGCCCATGTCTCCCAGACAAAGGCCACACATCTGTGGTCCCAACATCATAGCCACACCAGTCCCCAAAATCAAAGATACACACACCTAGTCCCCAATTATCATAGCCACACATAAGACTGGTGCCCACAATGTCATGACTTCAGGCTGTGAATAAGGCCATTGCACTCTGTGTGGTATGGCAGGGCTGGACCCATCTCAACAGCACATGTTGCCCTGATACACACAGACTTCTATGCAAAAGCAGGAAGGTACTGAGCTGTGGACCCAGAGCCCTCCTCCATTAGCTGTGCTGACCACTGCACAGGTCACTATGGACCTGCTGAGGTCACGTGTGGTCTGGACCCACCTCCATTGTGTTCCCACCCCTCTGCCTGAGCTGTTCCCTCCCCAGTCCACAGTGCGGGAGCTGCCCAGCATGTGCCCACAGGCTCTGCCACCCTTCCTGTGAGCTCCCACCACGCGATGTAGACCCAGACCCATGCTGCCCAGCCCCAGGAAGGAGTGGAGACCAATGGCTTGGCCTCAGAAACCATGCCCATGGGGAAGTAAACAGCAGGGAGGCAGCACACATGCGCAACAGAGGCACTGCTCCTCCTACAGCCCGCCCTGGGCTTACTTGGTCATCACCATCTCCATGAGCATCTTCAGGGTGGGGTACTCCTCCCATGCAGCCAGGCCTAGGGAAGGAGAGAGGGGCTAGCCATGGCATTCTTACCAGCCTCCCCATACCCCGGCTGGCCCCTTGCTAGGCTCTAGCCCATGACCTATCTATCTCTGTGGCCAGGACAGCTCACCAATGTTCTCTGGGTTGAATGCAGCAACAACCAGCAGCAGAGGCCAGGCCTTCCAGTAGAGGGTGGAGATGGCGAGGTTCGGGGGCTGATACCTGAAAGGCAGGGGCGTTACTGCCAGGCCGGGCAGTGACAACATGGCAGACAGCCTGACTGATCAAATCAGCCACCACCGTGGACTATGGGATTGATGGTGGCACCTCAAGATCTCCCCTTCCAGGATTCTACCCTCCAGCAACAGCTGTCCATGCCATCAAGAGGTGCACATACCACATGCCTCTGCTGAACCCATGGCAGGCTTCCTGTAAAGCAAGAGCCAGTCTCCCAGTGGCTCTGTACCCTGGGCCACTCGTGCCCTTACAGCTTCCCACATAGAAACACGGTATGCAAGATAAAAAATGCTCAAGATGCCACTTGTCATTTATTCTTTATCCTAGGAAACTAGAAAGTAAGGTGGGGTGGCTCACACCTGTCTTAGCTAGTCCAGAGGCTGAGGCAAGAGGATCTCAAGTTCAAGATCTTGCTTAGGCTACACAGCAGTTCAAGGGCAGTCTGGGCAACCTGGAGATCCTATCTCAAAAAAATAGAGGTGGTGGGCTAAAAGATGGCTCAGTGGTTAAGAGCACTGGCTGGGTTTGATTCTCAGCACCCACATGGTAGCTAACAACCGTCTGTAACTCCAGTTCCAGGGGAACTCTTCTGGCTTCCTCAGGCACTGCACACACAGGTGCACTTACATACATGCAGGCAATGCACTCATATACACAAAATAAAAACAATAAATATTCTTTTAAAATGAAAAATAAAATAGCAAGGTAAGTGATACCTGAAGGACCACTTCTGAGGCTGACCTCTGGCTTCCATACATGTGTACACACAAGCACACACATGCATGCATACATACACATTAACATGTACACACATATATATGCATATTAAAAAAAAAAAGTATGCCAAGATTAAGGCAGACAACCTGAGTTTGATTTCTCTGGGTGGAAGGAGAGAACCGACTCCCACTAGTTGTGATCTCCACATGTGCACCGTGGTATGTACACACAAGCACATGTATATAAAATAAGTTGCAAAACAGAAAAGTGTGAACAAGTTAGGGACTCCAAAGAAGTTAATGGGGAAAGACCTGCTCGTGCAGCAATAGTGGAAGAATGGCTGCCCACCTGGGAGCCAGCTCCACCTCGGCCCTGCGGATGGGCTTCCCCAAGCTGAGCCCTGGGAGTCAGCTACCCCTTGGCCTTGAGGACAGGCTTTCCTGAGCTCCCCAGGACAAGCTACTTTCTGAGCCTGGGGCTGGAGCCTTACCCAGGTGGCAGCTGGATGTTCTCAGGGTGGTGGTAGGTGCACAGGTTTAGAACTGCGTCAATCAACTGGATCCGTTCCACCTTCAGAACTTCTACATCTGAAAACCGAAGATGCCTGCGTTCCAGAGCCTCAGCGGGCAGCAGAGAGCAAGCGGGAAGACAGGTGGGGGCTTTGCTTTGGGCTGAGCATGTGTGTATGTGTTTGTGAGTATGTGTATGTACATGTGTACACAGATCTGCATGAGTGACTGGCACCATACAGCATAAGAGCAGGGGCACGAGCTGGGGAACTGAGGAGACAGGTGTTGGCACTGGTCCTGCAGGGTGGCCACACCCTTAAGAGCAGCCCAGCCTGGGTGCTGAGAGGCATTGTGAGAATCCACAGAGGATGCCAGGCATGGTGGCGTATGCCTTTAATCCCAGCACTCGGGAGGCAGAGGCAGGCAGATCTTTTTGTGTTCAAGGCTAGCCTGGTCTACAAAGCAAGTTCGAGACCAGCTGGGGCTACAGGGAGACCCTGTCTCCAAAAAAAAGAGAACCCACAGAGGGTCAGAGGGTCAGGAGTACATGTTCAAAATCATTCTACTGGCCCTAAAGAGATCAAGACACAGACTCAAGTCCCTGCTGGGATCCACCTCATGGGAATGTGAGCAAACTGTAGTCAGACAAAGGCCAGACAGCCAAGGGCACAAAGGTACCCCAAGAACCTGACTCCGGGTCCCCAGCCTCCCAGAAAACTGTTCACAGGTGCAAACGGTGTGAGATCCAGCAGGGATGGTGGCACCCTCAGCTCCTGTGGAGTAAAGGCCAGAGCCCAGCTGAGTGTCACCTAGTGAGGTGCAGAGGAGGCCCATAGCAGGGCCCCAGAGTGTTACCATCAGCCTGTATGGCTGCAGCTCGCTTCACAAGGTGGTCAGCCAGCTCCATGGCATCTGCAGGGCCAAGGGGCAGTTCACGGGACAGCCCGATGACCAGGATTCGCATCAGGGTGTCCTCCAGGATGGGTACCTCTGAGCAGAGCCGCAGGAAGAAGCTGCAAGTGGTGCTGGGAGTCAGGGATGGCAGGGACATGGCAAATCCACTGGGGTCCCCTGTGGGGCTGGGACAGTGGCTAGACATCTACCCATGGCCACTTCTCCATGGGCATGTCCCTTTAATTTAATTTAGTACACTTTGCAGGCAACATGCACCAGCTCCTATTGCCTCCTGCTGAGGCTTAGATAGCCACATGCACAGTCATGAGACAGACTGCACACACTACTGACAAGCACCTGAGACATGGCAGTGAGGGTGGCAGAGTGCTTGGGGCACAGTAGGCCAGCAGTCTCTGCAAGCTAGACTGGGTGGCAGGATCCCAGGACATGGGGAGTGACCCAGAACATAGGATTGGAGGGGACAGCAAGGCAGATAAGGGCTGCATGTGTAAAGCAGGGAGGGCAGGGTGGGTCTGAGACACGGGGAAGGGCCGTCTGGGGGCGACCCAGGTCATATGGGGACCAGGGCTCGCTAACTGCAGACACCATCGCAGGTCTGCGTAGCACTGCGCTTTGCAGGGTGGGCCCACTCCACCAGGCAGCTACAGAGTAGATGCCATAGGCATTGCTCCCTGGCCGCCCGGTCCCAGTCCACTCACTTGCGGTCGCTCTCAGGAGGCCAGTTGTCCCATTTATAGTAGGTCTCTGGCTGCTCAGTGAAAAGCACCTTGTGGAGGCTGCAGGGACAGAGCAGATGTCAGTAGGGATGTAGCTCTGCAGGGTGTCTCCACGGGGACAACCCAGACAAAAGCTGGTGATGGAAAAGTGCTTGGGGCTGCCCGACTCCTGAGCTGCCTGTCCTTGGCAGCAACCAGCAACAAGTGAGGCTGACTGAAGCTCTGTAAAGCGTGGAGACCCATATGTGGATCCTGTGAGATCCCACAGATCCCGCTGCCCTCTATCAATACTGTAGCTTTAAGGGTCTGAATCCAGCTAGTGGCCCTCAGGAGGTGATAAAGCTCCTGCCTTAAGCTGGCAGCAGGTAGGTACACTGGGAGGCTGAGGAATGACCTGGCTCTTACCAGTGTACATAGTCCTTGGGGGCGAGTTTGCTGATGGAGGGGACAACAGTGTGGAGCCACCACACGGCATCACGCTGGATGGCTGAAATCTGGTTCTGGAACGTGCGCAGCACCTCAAGGTCTGACGGGGATGAGCAGGTTCATGGATGCCTGCCAGCCTGGATAGTCCAGGCTGTCGCCATTCTGTTATGGACCCCTCCACCTCACTGTGACCCACAAATCAGGAGGATGCCCACAGAGAGTAGGCCTCAAGTCTAGACAGTCAGGCCCCAAGTCTAGACAGTCAGGCTTCAAGACCAGTCAGGCCCTGGGCCAAGAGGATCAGGCCCTGATCCAGGATAGTCAGGCCCCAAGCCTGGAGGGTCCTCTCAGCCAGATGACAGGAGGGAACTGCTGCTTCTAGGCGCCCCTCCATCTTCCCCAGTAGCCATGCTGAAGAGGCTCCCACACTCCATAGACCCCTAGGGGACAGCTCAACCTCAGGGCAGAACCAGGCCTGGCCTCTGCATCCCTGTCCAGAGACCCCAGCCCAAGAGAGTCTTACTCCTCTTTTCCCCTTTGTCCCAGGCGATGCCAGCCTCTTTCACCTGGGCTGTGATGCCCAGCATCATGGACACAGCCAGCACATCCGTGATGTGAACCACAAACCGCTCCTGTAGGCAGACAGTATGGTGGGACTGCGGTTGCCAAGGGCACAATGTCGAGAAGGGTCTGCTACAGAGAGCCCCACACTGCACAGGGCCGCATGTGTGCAGGCAAGCAGCACAGACACACTGACACACACACACACACACACACACACACACACACACACACACACACAAAAATAGCTTGGGAAACAGCCAGCAGAGACAGGTCTTGGGGTGGAGTTGGCCAGGCAAGCAGCACAGACACACTGACACACACACACACACACACACACACACACACACGCACACAGCTTGGGAAACAGCCAGCAGAGACAGGTCTTGGGGTGGAGTTGGCCAGGCTGAGCAAGGTGAGGCTACCAGGAGAAGGGTCAGAGAACAGAGCTGGACAGAACCCTCTCGAACAGCATACTGCCACCAAGGCAGACTGCCATTCTGCCACAGGGTCATGGAGATCCCCAGCCACCCAGCCTCGTTCTGTTCTGCAATAGCTCCTTATCTTTCAGGTGGTACCCCACTCATACAGACCCACTGCACGGACTCAGGGATGCCCAGTCCCTGCTCACGGCCACTCCCCAATCTTGCCAACTGCAATGTCCACATCTAGCCTGGAGTCATCAGCTCCCCAACTTGGCCAGCTCCTCCCCACCCTTCCAGGAGATGGAGTGACATGTCTTCTGGAACCCAATGCTGAGTGACCTCACACATGAATACGCATCCACTCAGCCAGCTCTGCACACAGGCCTGACATGTGGCCATCCCTGAGGAGACAGCAGAGTGTGAGTCTGTCAGGGCCAGGGATCCCCAGTGGAGGTGGTGAGTAGGGTCCCTGAGGTACCTTGAACTCCATCTCCAGGTACTGTGGCTCCTTACGCTCCTGCATGAGCCCTAGGCAGAAGGCCTGGAAGTTAATCTCGTGCTTGGTCTGCTTGATAATCTCTCGCAGCAGGGCCCGGGAGGCGCGGAGGTAGTCGTCCTTATTGGTCAGCAGGTCCTGGAATACCATGGCCAGGAACTGGGGCAGAGAGAAGCCACAGGGCACTGGGGTCAGTGGCCATCTAGGTTAGCCCGCCAGGAGAACAGCCCATGAGCTCCCCAAAGCAACCAAATGGGTGACGTGGTGTCACTGTATGAGCTCCCACAGCACATCTCAGGGGCTGCTGGTCCCAAGGGCAGTGCAGCCTCCTCTTCCAGGCTGTGAAGTCTAAGAAGGGAACTGTGCAGTATTTAACTCTCCTGACAGTCACAGAAGAAGAGCCAGTACTCTTCTAATCAGGAAAAATATTAACCAACAGACAGAGGGATGGGGGTGATGCACCAACAGACACAGGAATGAGGATGCTGCATGGAACCCCAACCTCAGACTATCCCACCCCAATCCCCAACCTCAAAGAATATCAAAGAATATAAAAAAAGCAATGATCCCCCCCAGGTCCACAACTACCCACTTTTCTCAGACCACAGAGATGGGAAGACAACCATTAGGCTGGCAGGAAGCTGGCATAGTGCCTAACTGCTGTGCTTTAGCTAAACACAATGGTGCTTTCCTAGGTCTGGGGAGATGCCAGATCTAGCACCCGGCAGCCAGGACACCAGGCCAAGGCTGGAGGGCTGTGGTTTGGAGAAAAACTCTCATCAAAGAGGCTAGGCTGGCTGTAGTGAGGAGGTTGGGCTTACAAGGATAGTTTAGAAGTTAGACACCAGCGGGACTCAGGCACAGAGCAAGAGTCTCCTCCCACACAGGACTGCCAAACCACCCAGCTTCACTTCCAAACAGGGTGACCCCTCTAGCCCAGAGGCTGAGCTGGCCCAAGTGCTGAGCATCCCCACCTTGGGTGCCAGCTCAGAGCTGTGCTGCAGCACTGTGTAGAGGATCTGCATGTTGTTGGGGTTTCGCGCATTGGAGAGCTCATTGAAAATCACAAACTTGATGGTAGTGCCCAGATTGTCCTTGTGGGCGTTCAGCAGCTCCCTGGATGAGACCCAAGCATGTGGGGAGGGGACTCAGGCAGGTCAACCCCAGCCACCTGCTGGCCTGTCGCATGGCCACCATCCCCAACCACCTGCTGACCTGATGCAGAGCATGTAATGGTTGAGGAGGACCTTGGGCTTGAGGCGGATCTTGATCAGGTGGGAGATGGCATCCATGTCCTCTGGGCCATGTGAGTTGCAGTTCATGCACACAGACATCAGCAGGTCCTGGGCTGGCCTGGTGAGCTGCAGAGAGGCCAGAAAAACAGTCAACCACATCAGCGGGACCCCCCAGGAAAGCCCTCAGGAGCTCTGCCCCTTGTGCTTCCCACCGTGGCAACGCACCTTGGGGTTCTGCAGCCACATCTCCAGTCGCTGCACAGCCAGCAATCGCACCTCCTTGTAGCCACAGGTGGCGGTGAGCAGCCTCAACAGGTTCCTGGATACATTATCGATGGGCTGGCGCCGGTTCAGCTGGTCACGCAGCATGTCCAGGACATACTCCTCCACACTCTCTGTGAGATCATCGTACCTAGGCCAGAGGGGGGAAGGCGGCCAGGAAGGATGCTGTCCCTGGCGCCCTTCCACGGACCACCCCAGGCTGGGGCTATCTGACCACCTACCTTGGCATGAGCTGGCTCTCCTGCTCAGGGCTCAGCTTCTCCTCAGCAATCAGCAGCTCTGTCTGGCTGTCCTCTTCCTCTGTGAGCGAGGGATGGGGACTGCTGCCTGCAGGGACAGTGGGAGCCCATGGGTGTTTCCCAGGGCTGTGGAGGGCCATGCCCCACCCCCGAGTTCCCCAACTCTTACCTGCACCGAGGTCACCCCCGCTGCGTGCTCCCTCCCCCTGCAGCAGCACACTCTTGGGTGGCATCTTGGTGTTGAAGGCTGTCTGGATGTTGTCCACAAAAGTCCGGCAGTGAGGGCTGTCCACCCAGATCCGCTCGCCCAGTGAGTCCTCGATGTATACCTGCAGTGAACCACATGTTCAGGCCCTGCCTGATGCTGGTCAGCTGCCCTAAGGAGGTGTGTCCAGGAGGCCCTCACCAACCCATGCAAGAAGGAGAGCACATGGGGCTCCATCTGCCTGTCCCCTGTATAGTCTCCAGCACCCTCCCTTCCCATGGTGCTCTGCTCCCTGAGGCCCTGGAGCAACGACTTACCTTCACAAAGATCTCGGGCCAGTTCTCATCCTCCTCATAAGCAGCCATGAGGAGGTTGCAGGCCAACACAGACACCAGGCTGTTCCCTTTAGCCTTGAAGTTGACAGATGCGTCCCGCCGCAAGAGGCTGCACAGGGCCTGTAGGGAAAGCATGTTCACAGGTACTCACAGTGCCAGGTCCAGGGAGGCCAAGAACATGGAACCTCAGTCGCTAGCCTCACCTCGATGACACCCTCTGTGGCAAAGATGTTGGGCTTGATCTTGGCCAGATACATGAGGCTCAGATAGAGTGTGCTGTCCGGCTTGGCCCGCGTCACCTTCAGCTGCTTCACTGCCCCACACAGCACTCCCTCGATCCTGTCATCATTGCCCTCCAGCTCGGCAGCTTCAATCTCATCCAGCAGCACTGTGGGCAGAACTGACCATATGGGAGGCTTGGGTTAGAGCAGGAATGGGAATACAGGTCACCCCCAAGTCATAAGGATAGGCCAACCACTGCATGCACCTCGGGTGTGTCTCATCAGCATCCAGAGGCTCTGAGCTCAGAAACCACATACCCCAGACCCTCTGTGCCTTTTTTCCCCCGCTGGTACTATTTTTGTTGTTGTTGTTTGTTGCTTGTTTTTAATTTTATGTGTATGAGTGTTTTGCCTGCATGTATATAAGCACACCTGTGCCATGCAATGCAAATGGAGGCCAAAACAGGGCATGGGATCCCCTGGAACTGGAGTTACAGATGGTTGTTTGCCACCATATGGGTGCTGGGAACGGAACCTGGGTCCTCTGCAAAAGCAGCCAGTGCTCTTAACCTGAGTCTTGAACCAAGGGCTTCATAAATGCTAGGCAAGTACTCTACCACTGAGCTATGCTAACTGTAACTGGGGGATTCTAGGCAGGTGCTCTACCACTGAGCCATGCTGCAGCCCCTCACTGGGGAATTCTAGGCAGGTGCTTTACAACTGTACTACATCCACAGTTCATACTTTACTTTTTACTTTGAAACAGTCTTGTTAAACTGCTGAGTCTTATTGAACTTTCCATCTTCCTGCCTTAGATTCCCAAGCAGCTGGGATTGACAGGCCTGACTCCCAGGCCTGGCTCCCTCCCCTCTGGCCTTTTCACATGACAACACAATAGCAAGGAGCAACACAGCTTAATTAAAGTCATCAGGACACTTGTCCTTTTTAGCTCCTACCCAGAAGTCATCCTAGAAAATGCTCTACGAGGAGCAGACATACAGGCATCAGTGTCTGCTACTTATGTACTATGTATTCAACAGCTGGGACAGAGGTGGTGGTTGACAGATCTATGCTATGGACATCACAGAGCCATTTGAGGTCATGAGGGGCTAGGGCTGTAGTTCACTGGAAGAGTACTTGCCTTGTATGCATGAAGCCCTAGGTTCAATCCCCAATAATGTCAAAAAGAACCACTGGAATAAGGGACAGAGAAGCAGGGGGATGTCAAACAGGCGCAGAGCTGCAAATGCCAGGTGAAACAACAGGAAGGTGGATGCAGTTATTGTTACTCTTTATTGATGTGTTTTCACCTGGGAAATGGCACTAAACTGCCCACTGTCCCTGAGGGAGAAGCAGCATGCAAAGGGTCTCCTCCCTCTTGAGGAGCATAGTAGAACTACCTGGGCGTCACACATTCAGCCGCCTCCCCCAGCAGGGCTCAGGATGGTGCTGTCACAGAGGGGAGGGCTGCAGACACCTCAAATAAGCTATAGAATGATGAGATCAGAGCACAGTGCAGGGCTAAGAGGCATGGATATACTCAATGGCCAGACAGGATGAGGAGAGCCCAGAGCCCAGAGTCGGGGTGGGAAGCACACCTGCACATGATGTCCAGAGAGCAAGCCCACAGTGAGCCAAGCACCCTGCTGACACAGCTCATCACACCCATTCCCACAGAGGATCCCAGTGGGCAGACAGTAGCACAGTATGAGGCCTGGAGGGAGCCATGTCAGATACCAGGTGGATGGACAGGAAGAGGGAAGCTCTGTGGGAAGTCCAAAGTCTGACTTTACCTTCAATGGGCACCACAGACGGCTCTTTAATGGAGGGAGAAATGGCTCGTTTCTCTGCAACTGCAGCCTCGGCCAGACGCCCCAGGGCGCTCAGTGGGGGAGTGGAGGAGAGTTTGGGACGCTTGGTGAGGCCAGTCAGCGCTGAGGCCCCAGACAGGGAGGCCGTAGCATCTCTCTTGCGCTCGGAGGGCAGGCCGGAAGGGGCTGGCTTCAACAGGGTGGATGCTGTTTTTGACTCACTGGTCTGACCCTTCGAGCCCAGAGCAATAAAATCCCCAGGGGGAGGGTGCCCTGCAAAGAGGAGGAAAAAAATACACTCTTTCAAAGCTCCCAAGGTGGAAAAGCTTGACTCTAATTCCTGCCTCAAAGGGGATTAACAAGGCTCAGAAGAGGCAAGAGTCAAGTGTGAGATCACTCAGCAAGTTCCTAGGAGAGCCAGGACTGACCCAGCGCTCACTATAAACCAAGGCATCTCTAACTAACAAGTACTAGTCTACTTAAACCTTATTGAGTCTCTACAACAGGTGCGTGACCCTCACTTTACAGGTAAGGAAGAGACAGAGCGGTCAGGCAATTTGCCCAGTGTCACACAGTGAGCAAGCAGCAACTCCAGAACCTTAGTCCAGATCATTCAACCCCAGGGTTTAGCCCAGGTTGCCATGTTCTTCCCAGCTGCTCATCAGGAACCCCTGGGGTGACTGCGACCTGCAGGAGCCCTGGGCTGGGGAACCCCTATCTTGCAGAAGCCCCTGAGTGACGGAGTCCTGCAGCAGCCCTGGGTGACCCTGTCCTGCAGGGGCCCCTTCACTGACCATGTCCTGCAGTATCTGAGCGACTCTGCCCTGCAGGAACCTCTTCTGACTGTGCCCCTGGTGACCCGTTCCTGCATAAGCCCCCTTCACTGACTGTGTCCTGCATGAGTCCCTTCACTGACTAGGCCCTGCATGAGCCCATTCACTGACGCTGCCCTGCAGGAGCCCCTGGTGACCATGCCCTGCAGAGGACGCACCTGAAGGCTTCGTGGCCGCGCTAGGCCTGCGCACGGTGGTGGGCTTGGCTCGGTTCATCCTGCCCGCGGCCCTCGCGCCCCTCGTCGCCGCGCCGTCACCTGGGAGGAGGCGGCGGGAGTCACTCGCTCGCTCAGTCATTCATCCCTCGCGCCGAGGCCGTGGGCGGAAAGCCCAGGGCCGCCCGTCGAGGGCGCGGAGCGGGGCAGAGTGCTGCGCACGCGCGGTGGCGCGTGGAGCCGCTGTCACGGCGGAGACGGGCGCTAGGGTCTGCAGACCACTCACCTCCCGCGCATCACCCGGGAACCCGCCGCCCGGCCGCCCCGAAAGTGGGGACTGGTTTGTGTGCGCTCGGAGAGCTGATTTCCGCACTAACCGGAAGTAAAATAACCCCGAAAGAGCAGAAGCGGCAAGAGAGTCCCACGGCGCATGCGCAGAGCTTGCACCGCCCTCTGGCGGCGTGAGGCTGCATTTGCGGGTCGCTTAGTGTTAGGCCTCCTTTTGCAGGGGACATTGACGTTAAGTGATGTGCTCAAGGACTCAGCTGGGGAATCAGAATCCTGCTTTCCCACTGATCCATCAATGACAAGATCTGAGGTTAGCGATGCTGAAAGCCTCTGCAGTGACCGCTAGATTTGACCTAATCAGCCTCCTACCCCCACAGCAGTCCCAAGATCGGACCAGGGTTTCTCCCTAGTGCCAAATGTCGGGGCCAGGAGCCCAACTGCTGGGGCAAGGGCAAAATTCCAGGTCTTTCCTTACAGACAACATGGCCCTGTGACTATCAGCTACCCCTACCCACTTTTTTTTTTAATTTTATTATTTTTATTTTATGCGTATGTGTATATTGCCTGCATGTAGATAAGTGCACATGCAATGCCCGCGGAGGTCAGAAGAGGCTGTCGGATCCCCTGGGACTGGAGTTACGGACAGTTGGTATCTACCATGTGGGTGCTGGGATTCGAACCCGGGTCTTCTGGAAGAACAGCCAATGTTCTTAACCGCCCCACCCCTACCCACTTCTAACAAACAGCTGTAATCCTATGGAAAGCTGAGGCAGAAGGATTGCCTCAGTTGAAGGTGAGCCTGGGCTACATACATATCAAGACCTTGTCTCACTGAATATATGTGTGTGTTTAATTTTTTTTTATTTTATGTGTATGAGTGTTTGCCTGCATTTAAATGCAGCATATATGTGCAAAGCCTCCAAAGGCCAGAAGAGGGCACTGAATCCCCTGGAACTAGAGTAAAGGACAATTGTTAGCTGCCACATGGATGCTGGGAACTGAACCTAGGTCCTCTGCAAGAACAGCCAATGCTCTTAACTTATGAGCCATCTGTTAACTTATGAGCCAGCTCCTTGTTTTTCTGAGACAGTTTCATTTATAGCCCCAGCTGACCTGGAACCTACTATGTAGACCATCCCAGGCTGGCCTCAGTCTCACAGTGATCTGCCTGCCTCTGCCTCCGGAGTCCTGGGATTAAAGGCATGTACCACCACAGGGGCCTAAATAAGATATTTTTGAGCTGGGATAGTGGCATGTACCTGTAATACCAGCTGTTGGGAGGCTGAGGCTAGAGGATGACCAGTTCAAGGTCAGCTAGATGTGCATAGTGAGTTGAAGGTTACAAAGTGAGACCCTGTCTCAAAAATGTGTGTGTGTGTACATATTTATCTTTTATCTGTGGGTGGTATAATTTGAGGATTAGGAGCCCAACAGAGGGCCAACTGCACTACTGAGTTGTCCCCATGATGGCCAGATGCCTTTCAGGGACTACATAATAAGTCTGTGGGTTGGGTGAAGGATGTATGTGAACACCCTAACACAGGAGGAGCACTAGGCAGAGAGCTGGGCTCCAGGCCCAGGAACGCTGTTGGATGGGCTTGCCACACCTCCTGATGCCTACCAATGCCTTCCTTTTGGGGTCTTTCTTGCTGTGACCCAAGAGCTGCAATAAAGACCAAATTTCAGGGATGGTGAGATAGCTCAGCAGATGAAGGAGCTTGAGGTGCAAGCCTGGTGACCTGAGTTCTATCCCCAGAACTCATGTAAAGGTTAAAGGAGAGAAACAACTTCTCAGAATTGTCCTCTGACCTCTATGTGTATACCATGGCACAGCCCCCCCCCCCCGACGCGCCAAAAAAAGAAAAAAACCATGCACACAACACACTAATAATAAATAAAATTTAAGCTAAAAGAGAAAAGACCAAAGCCATGGCACATGCCTTTAATCCCAGTGCTCAAGAGGCAGAGGCAGACAGATCTCTGAGTTCAAGGCCAGCCCAGTCTACATAGTTCTAGACCAACCAGGGCTATATAATGAGACTGTTTCAAAACAAACAAACAAAGACCAAAAGTCAGTTTACTCCACCAGACGCCAACCTAGACGTTCACCTCACCCTCCAAGTCCCACTGAGGCCTAGCTCAGGGAAGGTCAGATGGAGGTGACACCTAGAACCCTGAGGTATCCTAGGGGGTGGTGCCAGGGGGCAGGCCTGCAGCTGCTGTGGTCTAACTGCCCCTGTGACAGGAAGCAGCTGTCTCCACTTGCCAGCCTGGGCCTCATACTGCTAGGCCTGATGGCAGGCAATGTCCCCAGGGCTCAGGGTCTCCCTCCATGGGTTTAGTGTCCCCAGTTCAGATTGACTCCGTCATTTCCAGGGCCCTCCCTCTCTCTAATCCCAAAGCTCAGCAGGTAAAGTGGCTTGCTGCCAATGACAATCTAAGTTTGATCCCAGGGATCCACATGATAGAAGGAAAGAACTGATTCCCGCAAATTGTCCTCTGACCGCCGCATCCATGATGTGGCACATGCACACCCATACACAAACACATACATAGAGGAAATAAATAAATAAATGTAATATATTTTAAATAGAGAAAACAAGGTGGAAAACAATCAAGGACGCCACCTAACATTGACTTCTGCTCCCCCAATAATGTGCCCTGACATCTACACGTGCAACTACCACATGAAAACATATATATATATATATCAGACATACAAATAAATACATAAATAAAAATAAAGGGACCATGGGGCTACAGGGAGACTCTGCCTCAAAAAGACCAACAAAAATAAATAAATAAATAAATAAATAAATAAGGGACTAGACAGATGGCTCAGCAGTTAAGAGCACTAATTACTATTGCAGAGGACTTAGGTTCGGATCCCTGCACCCACATCAGGTGGCTAACAACTGCCTGTAACTCCAGGTCCAGGGGAATCTAAAGCCTCTTCTGGCTTCTGCTGATACTGCACTCACGTGCACAGGTGCACATATACACATATACACATAATTAAAAATAATAAAAATGTATCTTTAGTAGCCAGGCGTGGTGACACAGGCCTTTAATCCCAGCACTCAGGAGATAGAGGCAGATGGAGCTCTGTGAGATGGAGGTCAGCCTGGTCTACATAGTGAGTTCCAGGCCAGCTGGGACTACAGGGAAACCCTGTCTCAAAAAGACCAAAGTAATAATAATTAATAATAATAATAATAAATATTTAAAATAAATAAACAAACTTAAGGGTGGGATTGGGGGTTCACTGAACCTCTTTGTTCTTCTTCCTAACATGGTCACATTGAATAAAACTCCTGTCTCTGCTTTTCACTATGACTTCTCTGTATATGGGACTCTAGAGGATGGGCGGCTGAGCCTGGATTGTTAGGGCTTCCAGGACCCAGGCTCTGGTGCTAAGTACTTTGGCACCCTCTGGACCTGAAGGTTTTTGGCTTTCTCCACCTGGCCCCCTCTGCCAACCTCACCCGAGATCACTGGGCCACAATGCCAGGGTTGAAGATGGACAGTCCTTATGCTCTGAGAACCCAATTTGGCGGATCACATGGGGCCACAAGCCTTGGTGCCTTTGATTTCTGTGATATTGCTCTAGAGGAAACACCCCCAAAAACTGGAGGGGAGAAACAACTGCTTTTCTTAAAAATAACTTTGCTGTTTTGGAAAATATGATTAGAAGAGTATGGTTTTTTTTTTTTACATTTATTTTAGAAAAATTACGTTTTTGTGTGTGTGTGTGTGTGTGTGTGTGTGTGTGTGTGTGTGTGTTTACTCAAGTGGGGTACACCTCTGCCATCATGCACATGTGGAGGTCAGAGGACAACTTGCAGAGGGTTCTCTCCTTCCATCATATGGATCACAGGGATCAAACTCAAGTTGTCAGGCTTGGTAGCAAGCTCCATTAATCACTGAGCCATCTTATCAGCCCTATTTATTTATTTATTTATTATTTATATTTATTCTTTTTGTTGTTTTGAGACAGAGTTTCATGTAGCTTAGTCCGGCTTTGGTCTCACTGTGTAGCCAAGGATGACCTTGAACTCCTGAGCCTCCCTCCTTCACCTCCTGAGATTATAGGCATGCACCACAACACCCAGTTTGTGCAGTACTTCGGATGGATCCCCGGGCCTCGAGCATACTAGTCAAGTACTCTCCCAACTGAGCTACAGTCCCAGCTCCTATGTACTCAGTTTTGAGATGGACTCTCACATTGCAGTTCAAACTGTCCTCAAATTCACAATCCTCCTACCTTGGCCCCCCTAGTGCTGGTGTGACTCAGTGTGCCACCCACCACAGAGGCTTGAGATAATCATTTTATTACTGTCCCCAGGGCAGGAAGTGAGGCAAGTCAGGGCCACCTCTTGGCCCTGATCTACCCGCCACACTCTGAGGGTCAGGAATATAATCACTGGCAGCAGGTTAGTGGTCCACAGCTGACACCCAGGGCTAAGGGTAGTGGTTGCAATTACCCAGAGGGGCTTCACCCCATGTCCTCAGTGGATGCTTCTGGGAGCTGCCTCCCCTCTTGCCTCCTCCATCCTCTTCTAGTCTCTCAACTTGGCTGTGCCCAATGCCACCAACCTACCCCAGGAGAGGGCTTGGCTTTGGGGAGCTCATGCTATGTGGTAATAAAATCCAGGGCACCTGGTGTTGAGGTGTGGCTCACAAGTTACCTGCTGTGTCGTATTAAACAAGTTTCTTCCCTGGCCTTGGTTTACTTACCTGACAAATGGAGACCTCAAGGCTCTGCCTTCTGGGGGAGAAACAATATAGGACAGAAGAAACTAGGTCTCTGGATGCCCTGGGTGCTGTTCCTTTCCCAGCTTCTGCCCATTAAATTTAGAAAATTCTTATCCATTTAGGAAGTCTCATACTGACTGGATCACAGAGCTATTGAACCCAGGGCTTTGCACATATCAGGCAGGTGCTCTACCACTGAGCTATGCCCCAGCCCCTAACTGAGGGATTGATTATAGGCAAGTGCTCTATCACTGAGCCAAACCTCCAGCCCCTCACTGGGGGAATTCTAGGCAGGTGCTTTACCACTGAACCACACCTCCAGT